GCTGCTAAGTTTTCCAGATTGTAATTTGCATTTTTGGCAGGGAAATTTAACCAGCTAGTCTACAATTATCCTATTCGAATTCCAGAGAGGTTCTCTCTTGTTATTCGCTCTTTGTTGACTCAAGAAGGCATATGCTTCACCCTGAAGCCTGATTTCAAGTTTCTTGAGGTGATAGGCATTTTCATGAGAATGATTTCCTTATAAACTGATGCTTATAAGCTAATAATCTGAAACTTAAAATCACTTTTATGTCGACTCACTTCTTTTTGTATATACTTCTGATGATCTTTTGGAGATCCTTAGAGGGAGAAATAAGAAGTGCATTAATGATAATTTAATGCAAAAGGCAAATTAATATAGTGTTCTAGCTTCATTCCACTATTGTTATACACCAGTACATGTTAAGAGGCTCAGAAATCTTGAACCTTCTCTGATCTACTTCAACATAAAATAGAGTGAACTTTTGAACTTTTGAGCCAGCTATATAAACTATTGTTTTGATATAATTGGAATTATTTGTCTTTAGCCAAGTCTGTCAATTTTCACCTGTGTTTCAATTGGATCAATTTTTCATTGATTGTTGGTGGTTTGATTATCATTATACTAGGTTTCCTATCCATATGTCGCAAAACGCCTTCTGACAGATCCTAATCCTGCTTTACGTGAACGTCTTATTCAGGTATGTCACATTGTTGAGTTCATATATATTATAATATTTAATTGTTGCAGATAATCTGTTATCCTTGTGTTCTCATTGCTTCACATCTCTAAGTGTTCACATTAGTTGAGAATAACAAAGGTATCATCATTTTAACTGGTTTACATCACATTTCATCGAAATAATTATGCCCCACCACATGAAAGCTATGGGAGCGGCATCATTAGCAGCAGTCGATTTCATTGAAATAATCGATCTTTCTCTGAAATACAGTAACACGCATCATTTTAGAGGATTTATGATGTGCAAGTCATTGCTAGATAATGTTTATGTGTTCCCTTTTAGAATCAGTTCAAAGAAAAATAAAACAAAAATGTTTACAGCAATCAATAATGTTCGTGATTTTTTCTCTATCTCTCTCTCTTTTTTTTCTTTTTTTTTTTTCACTTGGCTTGATTTTCCAGGTTTTGTTAAAGATGGGGTTTTCCAGTGGAAAAGGCTTGAGAACCTTATCATCTTAGCAAAAGAAAATGTGGCTAAGATGAGCAGCAACCCTGCATTGCAGAAAAACAATATGTATGTCATATTCTTGTCCTTGTATAGCATACATTCTATTTAATTTTATTTATTTGCTTTTTTAGTCCAAAATTAATAGTTATCTTCTCAGACCCAGAAAATATGAAAACCAAACACTTGCTTGCACATTAGATCATTATTACCCTGTTTATTTCATTCTTTTTGACTTTTTTTGGCTGCTTATGTTATTTGACATTTTCTTCTGTGACAGGCAAAGCTCTAGGGAGCTACAAATTGCAAGGAAATTGGACCTAACAGACACTATCAAGGACGGGACCCGGCTGTTTCTAATTGATGAAGGGATTCGTAGACAGCTTCTTCTTGCTCTCACAGAAGACTCCAAGCTTCATATTCAAGAGGTTTGTAAAACATAGGGTCAACTCTAAACAGTGCTCTTCAGTGTTTCTCTCGGTCAATAAAATCAGCCATATTTCGTAAATGCAAATACCAGTGTGCCTCTCTTCCTCTCTCTAAAATCAGCCATACTTTGAGAATTACAAACATCATGGTGCAACTTGTTAAACATGTGTCGAGGAATGTCATAATTGTTCTTAAGAACTGCATTTTTCAAGACAAGTTAAACCAATTTAGTGAAATACTTGGCTTCTAACAAAAATGTCCTTTTTCTTCAGCTTGTAGACGTATACAGATTGCTCGAGGACCAAATAGACGTACCTTCGGTAGCTTTACAAGTCGCACGAGGTAATAAAAGCTTCTATTAGAACTGTCATGAATTATTGTTAGGAAAAAGATCATATGCATGTATATACAATATATATAAGCAATAATATAATTTTTTGGTTTAATTGCTTTATACTATATACATTTTATGTTTAAAAAAGGTTGAATCATGCATGTGAATCGAAGTTCTTACTTTTTCGTGCCTCTTAACAGATCTTCCTTCTGTTGCTCGGGACGTAATGCTTTCATGGAGTGCCTCTGTCTTGTCTGATAGATAAAGTTGTGCCCTGTTGTTGTACATGCAGTTTTTGTAGTTGTGCTCTAGCATGTTGACATGACAATGTCGGTTTCAAATTTTGTATATAACATAATTTTCTATGTATAGGTTGTCATATGCTTCAAAGGTGTATGTAAATTTGTATGGTTATCTTTCTAATATAATTCTTTCCATTATTTTTCCCTAGCTAGGAGCTAAAAATGTGTATACACCTTTGTTCTAAAAATGGTCTTGGCGGTGCCTAGACTGTAAATACGATTTTTACCTAGGCGGTCATTCTATGTGCTCGACGATTAGGCAACGTTTAGGCGGACTAGGCGTTTGTGAAGTTACTGATGCCTAAGCTGGCGAGGCAGTCTTCGAGGATCTAGGCTCCTGATTATTTTTTTAAAAAAGATCATTTATTTTAGGAAAAAAAACTGCATATAATTTACATTAATCTATATATATATATATATATAATTGCTAGTTAAGCAATAAATTTTACCTATTAAATAAAACTTAATAAATTTTACCTATGTAGCAAATCATTAATAAAATCTAATAAATAGAACCTAATAAATTTTATTTATGTGACATTAATACACCCAATATCATTAATAAGAAAATATTTCATTATATTTTTTAGGTTAATTAAGACAAAAACCATTATGTTTTATGTTAATTGATTAATAATTATATTTTTTATTGAATAATATAATAGTTAATATTAAAATTAGTAATTATATTTTATACTAAATAATATATGAAAGTTACATAAAATTATATTTTATACTAAAATCAATATTTTTTTATATGATGAAGCGGTTGTTTATTAATAAATTAATTTTTTTTTTTGTCATAGTAAAATTTCTTAAAATCACATAAGCAATTGTTATAATAAATGTAATATTTTTCAGCTAATTAATTGGTCATGATCACTCAAAATTATAAAAAGTGTATATTTATTACATTTTATGCAATCAATATAGTGATTAGTATACAATCAAATCGTGTGTACTATTTATTTAACCAATGATCAAATTTTAAAATATAATACTATTATATAATTTATAATTTTGATATTATATACATAAATATAACTTATAATACTATATGTTTGAAATATAATACAATTATATAACTTATAATTTTTTTATTATATACATAAATATAAAGAGGAGCAACAAAGCATTTAATTTTATTACCATGCATTAAATTTTATTCTCCCTCCAAAATTTTCAGCATTCAATTTCATTTTTAAGTTACAAAATAACTTGCTTGAATGTAATAAATTATGATCATAAACCAATCAAGGGAATTACAAAATTATACTCAAATTTTATGTCACACACATTCATGAAAATGGCGGAGTATTAGCATAAAAAAATGGTGAAAATGGTTGTAACGGCTCTTCCATAGCAATTACTTGATCAAAATCAATTTTGAGAATTATATTTTTATGTTTTTAAAGTATTCGTCTCTGTGCAAATGCACATGTTGATTACTAGTTATATAAATAAAAAAGTATTAATGATCTTATGAAAACTAATAAATAATTACGATGCATTAATTTTTGCATAATGTTTGTATTTATTATATTAATTAACATATATATATATATATTATAATATTAATATTATAAATTATGCATGATGATAAATATAAATAAATTGATTCACAACTCCGCTTAGGTGTTAAGCGCTAAACCATCATCTGACGAGCTCTTAGCGACTTTTAGAACATTGGTATGGACTCTTTAGTTATTGTTTGAGATCAGTTTTCAAATTATCAATATGTGAACTCCACAAAAATGAATGTTTGGTGATTTATATGGGATGAACTTTTGAATAAATTATCTTTTATAAAATTTATTTGTATGAGTCAAAGTTGTAACTTTTTTAAGCTAACAATTTATGAGTATTCTTTTAAAAGAATTGTTACCAAAGTGCTTCAATAATATAGCACTTAAGTGACCTAATTCTTTTTCTTATAGAGCCTTGTTCAAAAGTTGGTTGAAAAGGACACTTACTCGTTTTACTTTAGCTTTCTTATTTGGAAGGCATTGGGAAGGAAATGAGATTTCCTACTCCATTTTTATATTGTATTCCGTGCTCTACTCCATTGAATGAATGACATGTATAAATGATGATGTCATATTTGCACATGTGTCAATCTTCTAACAGAACTATGAGCTTGATGACTTATCTTGTGCGTTAATCTGAGGCTCATCCTCATTTTGAGTTTGTTTTTCACTAATGCAATTTAAAAGAACTATCTGTTCTAAAAATCGGCTTAGGGGGTGCCCGGCCGCATCCGATTTGCACAAATCGGCCAAAAAAATCGGCCAAGCGGCGCCTAAGCGGCCTTAAGCGCTCTTAGGCGGACTTGGCAGGCTCAACGGCCAGCGGTTAGGCAGCGCCTAGGCGAGCATAGACGGAATTAGGTGCTCCTAGGCGTGCTCGGCGGTAATTTTTTAATTTTTGGATGCCGATATGTTGATGTACGACCTAAGAGATAAACTTACTCGTTGAAGGACGGAGCAACCTAGTTCAAGGGAAACCGAGCTAATAGCACAATTAGGCTATGTTTGGTAAAACTAGCTGATAGCTTATTAGTAATTTTCGAGCTTATAACTTATAACTTATGACTTATAGCTGAAAAGCTAGCTTATATGATAAAAGTGTTTGGTAAAATTAGTTGATAAGCTAGCTAAAATAAAAATTTCAACGAGCTTATTTAAAAAGCTACCCAAAAAAGCTTATTAAATAAGTTCGAGCTTTTTAAAAAAGTCCGCCTTACCAAACGGAGCTTATTTGAATACAAGAGCTTATAAGCTAACCAAATAAGATATAAGTTAGCTTATTTGTCTACCAAATACAGTCTTAGAATACTTAATGAGGTAGGCTAATGTGAACACACCACATAATAGATGCAATGGAATATATTAAAATAAGGACACATGGAAAAGACCACGTGGGCTAATAGAACTGAGAAATTTGAGCACCCAGACAGTACGATCGGGTAACTCGAGCCTTCGGGCAGTCCAGTCAGATATTCTTGGGCAACAAGATAACATTTCTATATAAGAGAGTTGTTGATATCCAATCCGATAACAGAAATTGAAGATGAAGATTAATCAAATTATTGAAGAAATAAATTCTCAAGAATAACTTACCGCAAGTCGGTATTTATTAAAATAAGTTACCGACTTCTACACAGTTACCGACTTCCGAAGATCTTCAAGAGAACCGCCATCTGAAGACAAGGCAAGTGAACCGACTTCAGTTCAACCGACTACCACAAAGTCTAAATATTCCAACAGAAAGTAATCATTAGAAGCATCTGATTGGACCAGCAAAACAAAAAGGCAATCATTGATGTTTCCCACCGCTTCAAGTAAAGCAGCTCAACATTAAATGCGTCTTTATCCATTTTGAGCTAAAAGACAAAAAACCACCGTACTATAAATAGCAGAATTTATGATGGTACGAGGATCGGGAGAACACATTGTACACGGACTTATAATGATCTCGGTTTTCCATGCATAACCGACTCCTGTACTCTTGTGGACATGACAAATAAAATCAAATTAAACGATTGTCTTTGCGTTCTTTACATCAACTGTGTTTAATTTAAAGTTGTTAATTCAAGACAACAACAGTTTGGCGCTAGAAGGAGGGCCTCTCTTTTTCTCTTTCGATTGTTTGTCTTGTATACAACATATTAAAAGGATGTCGAATTCTGGGCGAACGAACGAAACCCAGACGCTGGAATCAATCATCACCCAACTCACACAACTGGAACCTCTGCTGTACCATCCACATCAATCGATTATTCAGTTTTATTTCAAGATCCAGAGTTCTTGAAGAATTTAACTGATTTTATGGCACGGACAAGAGTAGAACCAACTGCAGCAATTAATCCACGAACTCATCCTATATCAACCCCGCAACAGAACGAAATTCCTGCTGTATCACATGCAACTTCTCATCCACGTACACATGAATCACAGCATGATGTTGCAACTCAAAATCGTGGAGTAGTTCCTGTACAAACTTGAATTCTAGAAGCAGTACGATCAGAAGCAACTGCAGAAAGCCATTCTGGGCATCGACAGCGACAGCCTACTCCGTCGTTACCAGAAATCTTACGACATGATCAACCCTCTGATTTACGACATACTCTTGAACAAAACCATGCTCGTCGCGGGCAAAATGAGTTACGTCGTTTAATTGAAAGAAATCGCCAAAGACGTGAATCAGAAGAGTTAGAAATGTTGAGAAAAAGAATTGCTGAGTTAGAAACTCGCCAAGACGAACATGGAGAATCACCGCGACGAATTCCGACGACAGAAGATATGTATCAAGAAGTTGGAACTCCTTTAGCCCCTCATTTGACTAGGGAGCCTATTCCAACTAAAGTAAAAGTTCCACAAATCGGCTTGTATGATGGAACTTCTGATCCCGACGCTCACCTCGGTCAGTATACGTCTTGGATGGATCTTCATGGAGCAAATGAAGCACTAAGATGTCGGATGTTCTCCTTAACTTTGGGACCTCGAGCCCAAAAATGGTATCATTCTCTATCTCGGTATTCAATTACCACATGGCATCAATTGAGAACGGCTTTTCGGTCTCATTTTATTGGGGCCCGAGTTTCTTTAATTCCCAAAGAATCAATCGCAAATATTGTACAAAAAGATGATGAAAGTGTAAAAGATTATATTGCTCGGTTCAACGAACGCATACAAAATATGGAACAATGCCATCCTGAAACGCTATTGGTCACAGCCATAGCTGGATTAAAGCCAAACTCGTTGTTCCGATGGAGTATATGTCAAAATAAACCAACCTCATTTCAAGACTTTCTAGCTCGGGCTCAACAACATATTTTAGCCGAAGAATCAATGTCGGTTCCAAATATTGATTTCTCCTCGCTAAAGTCGGATGTCGGTCGGGAGTCCAGAAAAAACAAAAATAAATTCTTCAAACAAAATAAGTCTCGATTCGGGAACCCCAAAATACCAGAGGTGCAAGATGCAAGAAATAAATATCTTGATGAAATCAAATCTAGCTACCAGATGGTGTTCTCGGCTGGAGCAGCAACCATATTTGAAGAATTAAAAGGGAAAGGGATTCTTCCTGACCCTCGACCTGTAAGAACTCCTGAAGACCGACTTGACAAAACAAAATATTGTTCATATCATAAGTCGGCAGGCCATAATACTGATGAATGTCTCGGTTTACTTTCCGCCTTATTACGACTCATTGGACATCCTCAAGTCCAAAG